ACCTCTGCCACCAGGTGGCTCAGGTCACTGCTCAAAAGGATTTGGTGACAGGCATCCAGGCTGTAAGCTAAGAGAGAAGAGGAGTCTGGTAACATTGACCCAAGTATTTCTGAGCACTTGTCAGAACCCTCCTCTGTGACATTCTTTTCTGCCAAGGATCCCACTATCATCTGAGTCTTATGCAACCCATCTATGATAGGGATGTCACCATTTCTGTGTGTGGCCTTGGGATGGCACTGAGATGGCACACATCCAGTCTGAAACTTCCCTGCGATTTAAGTTACACACATGCACCTATAGAGCATTTGATTGGCAGATGGGGATAAGTCCATATTTCATCTCTATAGTAACTTTAGTCCTGTAGGCTAAAGTACAGAATCCTCCAAGGTAGAAGGCCAGCACTGAGCTAGAGAAGGGTAGGGGATGAGGGAGAAAGAGATTTGACAGTCTGCACTCTCAGAAATGAAAGAGGAGGAGGAGGAGGCCTTTTGGTAGCATATGAGAATGTGAGTTGGACACCTTAGACCAGGGATTATAACTGAGTTTTTCAACTTGTCTCTCTCTCTCTCTGTATATATATATATATACGCGTGTGTGTGTGTACATATATATACACACACCTATATACAGTGTGTATATATGTTGTGTGTGTATATAATACTATATATAGGTGCAAATATGTACATATATATGTACATGTATACATGTATATATATTTACCTGCATTCACCACATGTAGTTTATTTCTTTGTACTGAGGATGAAGAGATCTAAGAAATATCCTACAAGGCCACAATCCCTTATCTGAAAACCTTAAGGCCAAATGTATTTTGAAAGGTAAAATTTGTTTTAGTTTTTAGCAAGGCAACAGGGTGCATATATCATATATAACATGTACCCAGTTGCATGTGAGCCACAATCCTTAATCAAACATATAACTATTTCTGCAATCAGCTATGTGAATATTCTAAGTAGATAAATAAAGACTTATGAATATCCTCTTGTCAGTTCATCTAGATTTTTTCACTAAATGAGTATTTGAAAAATTTTAATTTGGAGATCTTACTGGATTTTGAAATTACAGAGAAGAGATTATGGAGCTTTAATGGTTGCAGCTTTGAAATGAGTCCTAAAAGGCAGGGAGAAAAGCATGAAAGGAAAGGTAGCTCAGGATGAAGTAGTTTTAGAACTTTGGTAAATAATCTACTCTTGAATTTTGCCCAAAGTTTTATGATGTTCCTCTCTTTCTTCCTCAATCCAAGTTCTCACTAAATTTTGCTAAAGAGATGTTTTTAAATCTATCTATACCCTTTCGTCTTCCCAATAGCACCTTATATTAGACTGTCATGTCTTAATGTGCCAGAATAGCGCTAGACCCATCCAATAGGTTTCCCAGATTCTAATGTCTCCCAACTCCAGGACATCCCCTGAAACTTAGCATCTTAAAGTTCTGTTTTCATCATATGCTTATCTTCTTTGAAAAAGAACAGACTTAGTTTAATTATCTCCTATACAGAATGTCGACTTTCACCCTGACCTGTGGGCTTTCAAGATTTGGGGACTCTGCTCCTCCATCCTGACTTCTCACTCCCCCAACCCGAAGCTTCTCCTGTGGGCAGGCTGGTCCCACTGACCCAACACTCACCATGACTTTGTATTTAAGCTATTCTCCCAGCCTGGTGAGCCCCCTGTATTTCTTCAAGTTCCAGTTCACCTTCTCGTTAGAAAATCAGGAAACTAAATCAGGATTTATGATAATTCGAATCTAAATTCCACTGCCCTTCACCTTTGCTTAGCCCTCTGGAGGGACATAAAATACATGAGTTTTTTTCACCTGACAGTTCTTCAAATATCCAAAGCCAGTTCTCATGTCCTCAAGATCTTTTGAAAGCCTAAATTTCTTTAGTTTCTTGGACCAGTTGGAGATTTCTGGTCCACACCATTGTGCGCCCTGTCTTCATTATGTTCCTTAGTGTGTCAATGCCCTTTTCAAAGATGGTGCCCCTTAATCTAACAATATTTTAGACATGGTCCCCACAGGTGAACATCACACTTACACTACCATAGTGTCAGATTGAGCTGGTATATCTAGCAACCTTTGGCCTGTACTTGTGTGAACATGTTTCTACCAAACCCCAAACCCTCAAGTCCATGAACGGCTGCCTGTCCTATATTTCTACCCTCATCCTGTATTTCTATCACTGATATTTGTAATCGAGCTCAGGATTTTGCTTTTTATCTTTGCTAAATTTCATGACATTGATGTCAGTCCTCTGTTGCAGCCTGCTGTGACTTATTAATATTATGTTTTGAGTACCCTTCTCCATTTAAAGAAGAATGAAAAAATATATCAAAATTCTCAAATATTAGATTATTATTTAAGCAGGTAGCAAAGTCTTCAATAAATGTCCTTAACATTTAAATCCAGGATTGAAATTTAGGTCCTATTAGTGGTATTTCTATAAGGTTTTTTTTTGTTTTGTTTTCGTGTCTTTTAATTTTCTCCTGTGGGCAGGCTGGTCCCCACTGACTCAACACTCACCATGGCTTTGTACTTAAGCTATTCGCCCAGCCTGGTAAGCCCCTGTAGTTCTTCAAATTCCAGTTCACCTTCTCTTTAGAAAATCAGGAAACTAAATCAGGGTTTACGAAAATTAAATGGAAGGGCAATAAGCTGAGAGCCAGATGTCACTAGGGAAAGGGTCAGGGTGGGAGCAGACTGCCTGCTGCATTGGGCTGAATGGGTTGTCAGTATGTATTGCCGACAATATTAAAGGCCTTTTTAAATTGTGATATCATTAGGACAGTTCTTTTGCTTTAAAAATGTTATAATCTAGACATTGATAGGAATGTCTAGATTTTCTTAAAGTAATTAGGAATGATCAGGCTGGGTCTTGCTCATGCCACCAACCTGTCCCTTTGGGCTTTGTGTATGAGAGTTCCTACTGGGAGCTCCAGGCTTGGGTGGGGGTTTCTGAGACAGAACTCTGTAGCTTGATCTCCACAACTCCCAAAGGAAAGACCTAAGACCTCACTAGCATCCAATGCAAGGGTAAAAAGCTCATGGGGTGAGGGGAGAAGAACACATACCTTTCAGCCCCTTCTTGGAATTGCCATAAAGTGCTTCGTAGATTTGTAGCTCTGACTGGAGGGACTCAAAGAGCTGCTGTTTCTCTTCACACTGTTGCTGCAGGAGGACCAGCTTGTGCTGCAGTCTAACCAGGGAGAGGCAAGGCCCACTGAGATGGCAGAGCCACTCAGCCACATGAAAGCAATAAGCTGAGAGCCAGATGTCAACTCAGGGGGTCATGAAGATTACGGTTAGGGTTACATCTGAGCCCCAGATATCAACTCAGGGGGTCATGAAGACCATCACTTTTATTTTGCAGATGTGGAAATGGAGGCTAAGGGAGGTCAAGTAACTTTGCTTGAAAACACACCATTACCTACATTAGTTCAGAGCAGAACAGACACACCAGCAGTCTCCTTACTGCTCCTACAGTGCTCTTTGCATTCTGACAAGCAGTTACAGGGCTTATGCTGGGACCAAGCATCACAGCCAGTATAGAAGCTTCCTAGGTGATGGTGAGACTAATGTCCTATATCTAACTGAAAGCATGGAAACCCTTCTTTTTCATGTCTCTGATATATTGAAAACTTCTATAACAGAGTTTTACTCTTTCAACTTGGGAGTGACAAGGCATTCCCAGAGAAGTCCTTTCTTCTGCTCAAAGCACCCCCTGCCCTGACACACAAAAATCAGGAATAGTAGAGGGAACATTGAGGTTTCCAAAAGAGGACACCAATTGTCTTGCCAATATCCCTTCTTTTAATGTAAGAATGAACATAAGAATGAAGAATGCTTCCTTCTCTGTCAGTGGGTCCCCTCTTACCTGGAGTCGTTTTCCTGGAGGGAAAGACGTTCCTCCCTGAAATGCAAGACCTCTTGCTGCTTCTCCCTTAAGTCTTCCAAAAGCTGCTGCTTTCCATCTTCTCATGCTCCAGCTCCTTTTCGAGCTCTTGAAGGTGGGATTGAGAGGACAGCAGAGCCTCCCTCAGGCTTTCCGTTTCCTGGGAGTGCTCTGGTGAGAGGAACACAGGAGGATTGATTTATTATGATGGGGCCAGAGCTCAGCAGGAAGAGGACCCCAAGCACATCTGCCCTGACAGAGTTAAGGAGCAGGGAAGGAAGGCCCTATGCTGGTGGGGAAGAGCATACTGGCTCAACATCCCCCATAGCCTGGAGAATGTTGCATCTCTCTCTTTGCAAAACCCTTCATTTCACTTATTTAATCTGTCCGATCTTGCTCTTAGAGAAATTCTGGTTTCTAATGCTCACCATTTTCCAAGTGCTTACACACCATCTGTTCAATAACCTATCCTGATCACTCTTATTCCACAAGATGGCTGAATAGAAAACCAAATCCCAAAGCAGCAAATTTAGGTAAACACAAATTTCTATAATACCTATGTAGATAGAATAATCCATCGCATAGTGGGCAAAATGGTGATACATACCTCCAGAGCAACAGCTTTATCATGTATGCGCTGGCGAAGTTTCTCAAAAAACATTTCATTTGCTTCAAGGGTTTTGTCTGAGTTATCTCGATACTATAGGAACTCCCGAAATTCCTGAGACCAAAACAGTTTATTTTATTCTTTTATTCAATATTAACCAAATTGCCAAGTAATTTGTTAGTTATTCAGGATGAAAAAACAAGATGTGATCACTCTCCTCAAAAGTAACAAGTTTAGCAGACATAACAGACATATAAATTGTAAACTATTCTGCAACATACAACAGACACAACACACAGAATTCTGCATCCTACGCTAGCTACCAGGGGAACACAGGATGCACTGCCTAACTCTGCCTGCAGGTGTCAGTAAAGACCTCACAGAGGAGGTAACATTTGCGGTGAGTCTTAATTAAAGGACTAGGATTTCCTAAGAAGGGAGAGGACTGTATGCTAGAGAAAAAAAAAATGTGCACACTATGCATACAATGAAAAAATTGTACATTCACTGAAATGTAGTGGATTCAATGTGACTGAAGCTTAGAGTAGGTGGCAGAACAGATCAGTCTCTTCTTAATGCCATTTTCCCCTCAAACTTTCATTCTATCATCAGAATGACTCTGTGGAAGTTTCTGTACAGTTTGTCTTCATCTATTAGACTGAGAGCAGTAGCCAAATCTTTTGTCTTCCCAACGCCCAGAAAAGTGTGTGACTCACAGAGGTGCTTAATGACTATTTTCTGAATATTAAGTCTTTATAATAGACTTCATAAAAGACTGCTTAAATCAGGGCTATATGTACTGTTTCTTACACTTGTCAGTAAGCATCTTAATTCAAAAATTATATTTTCTATTTATTTTAAATCCTCATGATTCCCACCTCTCAATGTTTTCCATATAGCGGGGACTCAACACAGGTGGAATAATATCTTAAATTTATATAAACAAATTTCAGAGTTCTATGAGCCCAGTTTTCATTGAAATCATGTAAACTCACCTGAAGCAATTGCTCCTTGTGACTCAGACTATGGTTTAGGTGCTGGATGTTTTGTTCCTGGGTTCGAATCTCATTGTATTTTTCAGCCTCCCGGGCACGAAGCTGTTGGCTCTTGTTCTACAATTCTTCTTGCAGCTGCTGCAAGGCTTTCCGCAATTCCTGAATTAAACATATTACCTTTTTAAAGAGATCTAAAATTATCACATGGTTATCAGACATTACAGCTAGATTTGTAAAGCACTTAAAAGCCATCACTCCCACTCTCACCAGAAAAAAAACTGAACAAACCGAACATCAATAACTCTACTTATATGCAACAGAAAATGGAGGTCCTAAGACATGCCAATCCTATGAAACTTTGAGCCATGGGCAAATACAGAGAATCACAACTTACCTGAATCAGAAACCACCGCTGGAGCCAGCATTGGGTAGACATAATTCAAAGGGAGTTGGCTAATTGCTGGAGCTGACAGCAGCCCAGCCTGAGAGGTAAAAACTCCTGGGGGCCTAACTAGTGGAAGCCTCCCATATCTTCATGAGTTTTGTCTCCAGAAGACTTAGGGTGAGAATCGGAGACAACTCCTTGCATGCTTCTGGAGGGGAAGGAGAGGTAACCATTGAAAAACATGCGCGGTGCATTCTGTTCTACTTAACAAACATGTGCCCTCCAAAGAAAATTGTGTTTCCAGAGTCTAACCAATGTGGGGAAAGGGAAAAACCCAACTCCAGCGACTTCTAGCCATCCTGTCTCACCTAAGAGGGAACAAAATTTGAGAAGCACTTTTGAAGGTCACAGCCCAGGGGCACAGGCCCACCACAAGACTGAGACCTAATAATAGGATTATAGAACACTTCCCTCCCCTACTCCTTACCACTGTATCAATAGGTCATATATATACATATACATACACACACACTATATATATATAAAAATACACGCACACTACACACACACACACACACATATATATAGAGAGAGAGAGAAAGAGTGAGAGATTTATTACATTTGATCCTCCATATCTGTGGGTTCTGCATCCATGGATTCAACCAGGCCTGACTCCAAAATATTTTTTGAAAACTTATGATTGTGTCTGTACTGTACATATATGGACTTTTTCTTTGTCATTATTCCCTAAACAATACCACATAACCACTATTTATATAGCATACGGGAGGATGTGAGTAGGTTATCTGCAAATTCTACATCATTTTGTATAAGGAATTAGAACATCCATGGATTTTGTTATCTGCAGGGGGTCCTGGCACCGATCACCCAGTGATGTTGAGAAATGACCACACAGGAAATTGGTTCATGTGATTATGGAGGCTGGGAAGTTTGAAATCTGCAGCGTGGCCTGACAGGTTGGAGTCTCAGAAGAACTGATGGTACAGATGTATTCCAAAGGTCATCTGTCAGGGAATTTGCTCTTATTCCCTCTTGCTTGAAGACGCTGGTCTTTTTGTTCTAGTCGGGCCTCCTACTGACGGAATGAGGTTCACTCACATCATGAAAAGCAATCTGCTTTTCCCAAATTCACCAATTTAAGTATTAGTCTCATCCAAAAACATTCTCCATGTTGACACATAAAACTAACTCTCACGGGAAGAAAAGAAGTATTTTTCCAAAATTAATAAGAGATTCCAAGCCATAGATCCAAGAAGTTCAGAGAACACCCAGCAGAGTAAATACTAAAAACTGTACACCTAGGCATGCAAATCCTAGTAAACATTCTCTAGAGAAACAGAACCAACAGAAGATAGACGGAAATAAAGATGGAGAGAGAGAGAGAGGAGAGAGAGAGAGAGAAAGAGATTGAGATTGATTTTAAGGAATTGGCTCACATAATTGTGGATGCTTGGTGAGATCAAATCTGATGAGGTAGACGAGCAGGCTGGAGACTTAGGGGAGAGAGTTGCAGTTCAAGTCTAAAGGGAATCTGCTGGCAGAATTCCTCCTTGTTAGGGGGAGGTCAGGTTTTATACTATTAAGGCCTTCACCTGACTAGATGAGGCCAACGCACACTATGGAGGGTCATCTGCTTTACTCAAAGTCCGCTAATTTCAATGTCTCATTTCATCAAAAAACACCTTCACAGAAACATCAGAATAATATTTGACCAAATATCTGGGCACCATGGCCCAGCCAAATTTACACATACAATTAAGCATCACAACATATAATATAGAAAATGTAGAAAATCAAAGACCAAAGAACATCTTGAGAGAAGCTAGAGAAAGGAAACACCTTACCTTAGAAGAACAAGGATGAGCATTACATTAGACTACTCTTCATAAACCATGCAAGCAAGAACAGCATGCAGCTGACATATTTAGTGTTGGAGGAAAAATAGTCCTGCTAACCTAGAATTCTGTAGAATTGTCCTTCAAACGTGAAGGAGAAATAAAGACTCTCTGACAAACAAAAATTGAGGGAATTTGTCACCAGTGATTTTGTCTTCCGTGAGAGGTTAAAAGAAGTTCTTCAGAAAGAAGAAAAACTACAAAGGTCAGAGACAAATCTACACCAAAGAAAGAAGTTAGAGAAGAAATAAATGAAGATAAAATAAAATATTTTATTATTTTTATTCTTAATTCATATAATCGTCTGTCAAAATAAGAAAAATAGCAATAATAGATTGGATGATTATACATTATGAATACATCAAATGAATAATAGCAATGTTTTAAAGGGTGGTAGGAAAGGAATAAGGAATTTTGTTTTTAAGTTACCTGCGTGACCCATGAAGCATCATAGCATTACTTATACATTGACTTAGATTAGTTGTAAATATATATGGCAAGCAATAGGGTGAAAACAAAAACACTGTTTTTTTTTTAAATGAATGAAATTCATATTTTAAGAAGAAGAAAAAAATGGGATCATATAACATGTTCAATTATAGCCAGAGAAGGTAGAAAAAGAGTAAAAGACACAAAAGAAAACAATGAAGAAAGTCAAAGAATACAAACAGTTATACGTACGGTACATATTAATCCAGTGATATCAATAGTCACTTTAAATGTGAATGGTCCAAATATACCAATTGAAAGGGACTGGAAGAATGGAAAATGAGTCCCAACTATATGTTTTCTACAACAAACCTCCTTTAAATAAGAAGACACAGAGATAGTCAAAGTGAAGAGATGGAGAAAGATATACCATACTCATCGTAATCAAAAGAAAACTGGAGAAGCAGCCGAGCACCGTGGCTCATGCCTGTATCTCCGCACTTTGGGAGGCCGAGGCAGGTGGATCACTTGAGGTCAGGAGTTCAAGACCAGCCTGGCCAATATGGGGAAACCCCGACTCTACTAAAGACACAAAATTAGCCGACCGTGGTGGTGCATGCCTTTAATCCCAGCTACTTGGGAGCCTGAGGCAGGAGAATCACTTGAACCTGGAAGATAGATGTTGCAGTGAGCCGAGGTTGTGCCATTGCACTCCAGCCTGGGGAACAAGAGCAAAATTCAGTCTCAAAAATGAAAACTAGATAAGCTATATTAATTTGAGACAGAGCCTACTTCAGAGGGAGGAAAATCATGGGGATAAAGAGTCATTACATTATGATAAAGAGGTCACTTCTCCAAGAAGATACGACAATCCTTAACTGATATGCACCTAACAACAGAGCATCTAAATACGAGAGGCAAAAGCTGATAGAACTTCAAGGACAAATAGACAGATTCACTATTACAGTGGGAGACTTCAGCTTCAGTAATTGACAGATCCAGCAGGCAGGAAATCAATAAAGGTATAGTGGAACTAGACACCACTACCAGTCACCTGGATCCAACCAACTTTTTAGATTACTTCATCCAACAAGAGCAGAATACATATCCTTTTTAGGTTCACATGGAATGTTCACCAAGATCCACTATATTCTGGCCCATAAAACACACTTCAACACACTTAATGGAATAGAAATCATACCAAGTATGCCCTTCATTCAAAGTATGAAACTGAAGTAGAAATCAATAGCAGACAGATAGCTGGAAAACCCCAAAATTGGAGATCAGACAACACACTTCTAAAAACACCTGGGCCAAGGAAAAGTCTTGGAACAAATTACATATTTTTAGCTAAATGAAAATGAGTGTATAACTTATAAAAAAAATTTCTAGGTGCAGGAAAATTGTTGCTTAGAAAGAAATTCATAGATTCAATGTATATGTTAGCAAAGAAAAAATATCTACTAATAATTCAAGATTACAATTTAGGAAACTCAAAAAACAAGAGCAAATGAAACCCAAAGTCAGTGAAAAACAAGAAACTAAGAATTAGAGGAGAAATCAAGGAAACAAAACCAGAAATCAAGAGAGAAAAATCAACAAAACCAAAAGTTAGTTCTTTAAAATAATCAATAAAATTGAGAAACATCTAGCTGGTGAACCAAGAGACAATGAGAGAAGATACAAATTACTAATAAAAAAAGAAAAGAAGGTCCTCACTTCTGATCTCATGGACATTAAAAGGATATAACAAATGAGGATTATCAACAATTCTGTGTTCACAAATTTGATAACTTGATGAATTGGACCAAGTCCTTGAAAGACACAGTCTACCAAAACTCACACAAGGAGAAGTAGATAACCTAAATAGATCTCTATTACTGAAATTGAAGCAAAGCTTAACAACCTTCCAGAACAAAGCACCAGGTCTAGATGGTTTCCCTACTAAACATTTAAGGAAGAAATGATACCAATTATCTCTAGAAAATGGAAGCCGAGGGAGCACGTCTTAACTCTGGTCTGGGAGGCAAACTTTACCCTAGTAGCAAAATTAGACAGATGATTTTGAACCAGGATATTGAACTAGCCTGCACTGCTGAGCAGCTCCTGAAACTCAACCCTGGAAGAACTGTAGAAGCAAGAAGGAGACATGGTTTACCGGAACTGTGAAAAATGGTAAACCTCCTATAGAGACTAAGGCGGTTTTGAACCGGCGTGTGTGGAAGGTTGATGTTCACAGGTAGGAGAGAGAGAACGACATAGAGAAAAGCATTTTCGATTCTGCTCCTGCTTCTGACTCCATGGCTATGGGCCAAATGGGGCTCTTCCTGCTTTGGGGGAAGATTTGTCAGCGGCTCTTAATCCGCCAATGCCGCAGCTGCGATGTTACATCCTGGACCCATATAAGTTTCGCTGAGGAAAAGGGTAGATGAAAACAGGGGAGGACAAACCAGATGATCCTGGA